GCTCTTCCAGGATACAACCTGGACTTACTCATATTCGGGCTGAAATTTGGACAACACCACTGTGATCATCTCATGCAGCTCGATGAGGAAGAGGTTGAGGTTGGTGTTGGACAATGCAGAGGCCAGGTCCTTTGCTTGCCCTACATCCAGCTTCCCCTGGAACTCCTTGGGCACCAGGCAGAAGGGATCCTGTAAAGACCAACACAAGCCTCTTGTGTCCTTGACCCTCCTATCAGGGCCACCAGAGAGCTTCCAAGACATAAGCTAGTCTTAAAAGTACCCAGGGGAGTGGATTATCTTCAGGATGGGCCAGAGACCTTGACATGATCCATGGAAGGGATGAGAGGTGGATGTCAAAAATGTCACCTGGCTCCAGCCACATATTTCCTTTCTCTTCCCAGTGGGGCAAACCCTACCTCCTCCCCCAAACTCATCTTCCTCACCTGGTTCATCTGGACCAACAGCATGGACCTGCGAGCTGCCAGGACCTGCCACAGTGACAGGATGTGCTTCAGTTGGGTGTTGGGCACCACCTGGAGAAGGGTGACAGAAGGGCACAGGCGTTCAGCTCCTCAGAAAGGTCCCACCTATGCTCAGCTGGAAGAGAATGCGTTGGGCCACCAACATCCCCCCATGGTTGCACCTCAGTTGCCCAGTTCAAGCATCCAGGTGGGCCCATCTACATCCCCTTGGTTCCCACATCACTGGAGTCCCCCACCCCGGCTGTCCCCAGGGCCCCAGGTGTCCCCAGGACCTCTTTGCTCTGAGCAGGAAACACCCAACCCTCCACAGACATTAGACTTCGGAACGTGTGGAGGTAGTAGAAGCCCTGGGAGATGAAAAGCCCCTCCCAGAGGGGTGAAGGGATGAAGGTCCCACTTCCCACCCACCCTGAGCCCCTCTTGCCCACCGGCAGGTCCAGGAACTGCTTGGCACCAGCGTCCATCCTCAAGTCTTGCTGGACATACTCAAACAACGAGCGATCCGGGTCACCGCCTGTCACGGCCAGGAACTCAGCAGCCACCTTCAAGGTGTCCAAGGCCTTGGAGAGGGCGTTGACCGAGCGGGCCTCTTCCATGATGCGCTTCTGCTGGTTGACACTGAGCAGCTCCTGAAGAGCAAGAATGTCAAGGGTGGGACCTAGCAAGGGCAGGGACCACCACCACGTGATGCCCTCCCACGTGATGTCCCCCTGGTGCATAAGAACTGGGTCCAACCCCCCGCTTGAGTTGGTTTTGGGTCTCCCCACACGTCTGCCCGGTCTCTGTGTCCCTGTCATGTCACGGGACTTGAGGGGAGACCTCAGGGTTGGATGGAGGAGAAAGAAAACCAACAACTCATTTCCTACCTGGGGCACTTGGTACATGACTTCCATCTTGGTGGCCTGGAGGGTCCTTACATTTTTGAGGACAATGGATGGAGCCGTCTGGAAAGGGTTTGGGACAGATGTTTACAAACAGGCCCAGTGTCACGTAACAGGGGCCAGCGGAGAAGCTCAGCTGGGCAAACGCGAGTCCAGGGGATATCCCCGAGGGTTCTGCAGGAGACAGTTGGTGGCCTCCTGAGGCCAGGGTGGGGTTGTGGAGGTCCCTGTTGGCTAGAGGAAGGCACCTCCATGACAGAGGACCTGAGGAGCTCACAGCCTCTGCTCCATCCCCAGCAAGGCAATGGAGAAAGACCTCTTGGAAGATATTTCTGAGGACTGAAAGAGCCCTGGGATCAGCCAGGGGAGACTGATCTCCACTTTAGAGCACATCCCCCCCAGCTGCTGCAGGACAACCCACTTCTGGTGCCCTCAAGTCCCCTTTTCCCACCAGCTCCAGGCTTCATCTTCACAGAATGGAGCCCTCCAGCCAGAGACGTGCTTCAGAGTCTCACTCTGGACCACGCATAACCCTAGAAGATCCCTCTTGAAGTTCTCAGAACAGCTCCCAACTCTTCTCTCGTTCTCAAAGAAACCAGGTTGGCTTCCCCTTCAACAAGAGACGGGGCTGTAGGTCGCCACGGTACCTTTCAGGCCACTATTTCATGACCACAGAAGTGGTTTCTGTCCATGACAAACCTTCAAAACCCCCGAGGAACAGAGACAGATGCGCGGATCTGCCAAAGCCTTCAGTCAAGTCTGACAACTCCAGAAAGACATGGAGAAGAGGCTGGAAACAGGCTCCAATCCCAGTGCTGCCCTGGGACAACCCAACTTGGCCAGCGCTGAGCTCACCTGAGCCTTGATGATGGGCTTCCCGCTGATGAAGCGATGAACCACCTGCCGCTGCAGCATCTGGAAGTCGAAGTAGGTCGTCTTGAGGCCATCTTCGTCTACCTCATACTGCAAGTTGGCAAGCGCCATGGTCACCAGATCGCTCTTGGTTATGGCCAGCACGGAGGAAGGCTTCACCTCTTCCACAGAGATGGACCTGGGAGAGGAATGGTTGCCCCGTGTGGGTGCAGGGCCTCTCGCCTCGGCCTATTCCCCCACCAAGGACCCGCTTTGTGAACAAAAGGCCACCATGGTCTCACAACAGCATCTCTCGGCCACCACAGCTACCCTGGAAGCCCTGAGAACCTCTCGCAGGGACTTTTAACGGAGGGTAGAGGAGATGGAGAAGGCCAAGGGGTGAGCGGCTCGAGACCCACCATTGCTTCTCCCTGGTGACCCCCGCGGCCGTGTTGATGCAGGTGTTTTGCAGCTGGATGAGGAACACGGTCACCAGGTGGCTGATGGAGGATTGGGTGGGGAGGAGGTGCAGGACAGCAGTGTTGGTGTTGATGTTGTCTGGTGAAAGGTTTGGCAGGAAGGGGATGCCTGGAAAAAAGGGCGGAACAGTCTTTTACCGCAGCACGGATCAATTATCCCTTTCATTGAGGTCTTGGACAGGGTTTTTTATGAGGTTTTGTATTTTCAGAAGTTTTAATTTGGTTTTAGCAGATGGAAAGCAAGAAAGCTCAGAAATTTTGCTACAAAGGGGAGTTGCAGAAAGCAACTCAGCTTCAGAGGGACGTGACCACCTACCCGAGCTGGATGGGTTCATCTTAATATTTCTCCAAACTTTCCAGATCGTCTCGATAGCTCTGCTGAAAGTCAAACGCTGGTCATCTGTGGGAAAAGGGAGAGGAGAAAACAGCCCCATCAAGGCCCCCTCCCAGGAGACACGTCAGGCCAAAGGATCTCTCCATCATCGGAGGTGTCACCCCATGCTGCGCGTTGGCTTGAGCTGGGCTTTAAGCCTGCCTGAGACCTCACGTGGCATCAAGCAACCAGGCGCCACGACCTCAGAGCTGAAAGCCCCATCTCACCCCCATCGAGGAGACCCTCGCCAAGCACCAAACACCCCAGGAGAAAGGATCTGCTCTGGATCCACCTCGATGCCTTCAACCTCTCCTAAATCATCCCCCAAAATTGCTCCCGCAGAGGCACCCCCAGCCTTGATGTCAGCTGAGTTGGCTCCACAATGCAAACTACAGGCAGCAGCTTCTCAGGGGAGCATCTAGGTGCTGAGGAGATGTCTAACACCCACGGCCCAGGCACGATGAAGTTCCAGATGGCACCTGAAAGTTCCGGCTGATCCAGGAATTGCTTGACTGTGTAATTTTCCCCTTTATGGCTGTTTTGGAAGAAGTGGATCAGGGCATTCTGCAGACGGAAAATGTTGGGCAGGTATCGGATGTGTTGGATGTTCTCAATCTGGAAGAGAAAAATTCAGCTTGATTCAAGGGAGGGGGATCCCACCTGGCACCACGGGGGAATGCAGAGGAGGACCTTGTCTTGCTTGGATGCTCCAAAGAAACACGGTGAGGGAAAAAATGACCCCAGTGCCCCCTGGCCACCAACCAGGCTGAGGCGACTCAGCGCCTGCACGTGTTTCGGAGGAGAGGAGATGTTCCCACAGCAAACCTTGGACAGGAGCTCCAGCAGGATGGGGTATGAGCATCCAGAGCCTTCTCCATCCTCCTGCTGTAGGAAATGCATCAAGGACTGGATGGTCGTTTTCTGCTCAAACTTCCACATGAAAGGCTGGTTGATCAAGCCCTCCCTTGGCAGGTTTTCCAAAGGCGGTGTCTGCCCATAAGCTATTTTCAAGAGGAGGTTGGAGCCGTGGGGACCTTCATTCATCCTCTGTTCCTTGACAGAATTAAGCCTCTGCTCCAATTTCTGCAAGAACCCAAAGGGTCATTAGCAGCCACCCCTCATTACTCAAGCAGCCCAAGGGGATTCAAGGGGTCTTAGGGCAAATAAAAGCAACATGAGCTCTGGAGAGGCATGGGGCATGGTGGGAACTTGCCACCAAAGGGACAAGGACAACCCAGGTTGAAACCCAACTGGTTCCCAAAGGACAATGAGAATTGGCATATCAAAAGCATGCAACAAGCCAATGCTCCACAGCAGCAGAGCAGGAGACCGCAGCAGGATGAGGTCCCACTTCAAAAAAGAGGGGACGGGTCTCTTTTTCTCCCACATGGGAACACCCCGATCTCAGCAGGTGTGTCTGGACAGGGAAGCAGCGTTTTGGCTGTGTAAGGCCTGCGAGCGGCAGCTGGGTGCAGACGTACCTGGAAGAAGGGCTGAGCCAAGGCTTTGAAAGAGGTTTCCCACTCTTCTCGGTCCTTTTTCTTAGGCAGGATACTCAAGGCTACACCTTCATCTGTAGAAAACACAAACCTGTGGACCCTAGGGTCTGCCCAGAGCTTTGCTGGGTTTCCTGACATCAAGGAGTAAGATGTTGCAGAAATAAGAGGAACGGAGAACAGAAGGGGTGACACAGAGGCCTACTTGGAGCAAACTCTCCCAACCTGCTCACGCCCTCAAGCTGCTCTGAGGGCTTTGAATGAGCTTGTTGCCCTCCTTGTCTTCCCACCAGTTTGGGCCCCTCACCCCAAAAAGGCCATTGAATGACTCGAGCGTGTCCAGAGAAGGGCAACGGAGCTGGGGCAGGGTCTGGAGCACAGGTCTGCTGGGGAGCGGCTGGGGGAACTGGGGCGGTTTAGTCTGGAGAAGAGGAGGCTGAGGGGAGACCTCCTGGCCCTCGGCAACTCCCTGCCAGGAGGGGGCAGAGAGGGGGGATGAGTCTCTGGAGCCAAGGCCCCAGCGCCAGGCCCCGAGGGAACGGCCTCGAGCTGCCCAGGGCAGGGTCAGGCTGGCTCTGAGGAAGGATTTCTGTGCAGAAGGGGCTGTTGGGCATTGGAATGTGCTGCCCAGGGCAGGGGGGAGTCCCCGGGATCCCTGGAGGGGTTGAAGAGTCGGGCTGACCCAGCACTGAGGGATCTTGGGGAGTTGGGAAGGGTCAGGGGGAGGTTCATGGTTGTGCTAGAGGAGCTTCAAGGGCTTTTCCAACCGAGATGACTGGATTTGCCAGGATGGAGACTCGCCCAGGAAGGAGGAATCAATGACACCGGTCCCAGTTAAAACCCAACCACTGTGAGCCTGATTGTGTCCTCCCAGAGTTTCCCATCATCCCTCTACCTGTTGGGTTGTTGTTGCTCAGGTCCTGTAGAAATAGATGGACAGTCAACACGGTATCCTCCGTGTTCCTGCTGAGCACTTCTGCCAGGCATGCCACGTCTTTCTGAAGGTGGCCCCAGAAGAACTGTTCCACATCCTCCACTTGTTCTTTCATCAGGTCTAGAACTGCCTGGGGGACAGGGCAGGTTCCTCCATTAGAGCTCTCTAGGTCTCCTCCCCACCTAAGCCAAACGCTCCCCCCTGGCGCAGTGGCCACTCACCTTTTTGTCAGAGTAGAGCCCCAGCAGAAGGGACGAATGGAGCAGAGTCCTCGCAAGACCCACACAGGCAGGCGACAGGCACCTCTCCAGCTCGTTCCTCCGTGAGAGAGGGCTCCCCAGGATGTAGCCCTTCTCCATTTTGTTCTCAGTGCTGCGTTCAGAAAGAGCAATTACCCACCATGTCTTCTGCAAGGTCACATGCTGGGACCACGGGACGCAGAGACCTTTGCTTTGACTAACCACGGCGTTCTCCCCGTGCCCGTGGCTCTGCGGGAGGGTGAGGTGGACGGGTGAAGTTCTCCGGGCCTGCGGAGCCTGGAGGGTTTACTTACGTATTCTCACTCATGAAGCCCCCCACAGGTTTGTGGTCAGTTCCGCCAACGGCAGCGCCACACTGGCATTTCCTCACCTCCGTGGGAAGCCCACACTGCATTTGGACACACGAGGGTGGAGTGAAAAAGGTTGGAAGCCCAACCGGGGACTGAAGGCATCTAGCAAAAACCAAGGGCAGCCAGGGGGTTGCCATATCCTCCCCCTGGCTTCCTACGTGGGGTCATCACAACAGATAACGAGAGGCAGGAGGAGATGCGTGCCCATGAGGAAACATCTCCAGACCAACTAGGTTCTTCTTACAGCCAGTAGGACACATTTAGGCATCAATTTAGGGGGGATTAACCAAGATCTGGAAGTACCCACTTTGCTCCACTGCTCCCATGGGGAGACACAAATCACAGCTCCACTTAGCCCAGCACCTCACTGGGAGAAGAGCCCAACTGGCTTGGAGAAGGACCCAACTGGCTTGGAGAACCCAACAGGCTTGGAGAACAGCCCAACTGGCTTGGAGAACCCAACTGGCTCGAAAAAGGACCTAACTGACTCGAAGAAGGACCCAACTGACTTGAAGAAGGACCCAACTGACTCGAAGAAGGACCCAACTGACTTGAAGAAGGACCCAACTGGCTCAGAGGACCCAGCTGGCTTGCAGAAGATCCCAACTGGCTTGGAGGAGACCAGTTTGATCAGAGAAAAATCCATCTGGCTTGGAGAAGGACCCAAATGGCTCAAAGAAGAGCCCAACTGGCTTGGAGAACCCAAGTGGCTTGGAGAAGGACTCAAATAGCTCAAGGAAGAACCTAACTGGCTCGGAGAAGAGCCCAACTGGATTGGAGAACGCAGTTGGCTTAGAGATGAACCCAATTGCCTTGGATAAGAGCCCAGTTGGGCCGGAGAAGAACCCAACTGGCTTCTGAGCCTTGCAGCTGTTTTTGCAGCTAAAGGATCACTTGACACAGAGGTGACACTGGAGTCCACGTAGGCGGGAGGGGAGCGGGACAGCAGGAGGAGCATCTACAGCAGCCACCCAGTAGAAACAGCCCAGCCACGAGGTCAAGATGTGTTTTGAGATGATGCAAAGAGGATGGGCAGCCAGAAGAAGACCCAAGAAGCTCATCCCAAGCCGGGCTTTTTCCCATGGAGGTGACAGAGCTGCAGTGAGATGGGCAAGAAGACAGAGCAGCTGAGACCACCAGCCCGAAGGAGTCACTTACCTCGGTGACAACCCAGCAGGAGCCACACTGACAAGCTATGTGTGAAAGGGGATACGGTTGGTTAGTTGCCTCCCACAACAACCTCCAGGATGGGCACGTGGCCAGAAGCTCACTGAGAGGGTGACAGGCCTGGCTCCCCCTCCTGCCATCAAGGCCCACCACAGAACTCTCAAAGAGCTCGTCAAAAAGGGACCCAAAGTTCCTCCACCCAAGCAGAGATCACAAAGGATTCAACAAGACAGAGTCGGCCTTGACAAGTCTTTAAACGTTCCCTTCCATCCCCTGGCTGATCGTGGTCCTCTACAAGCGCCAGAGCAGTGAGATTCCCCCAATACTTACTATAAATTGTATCCCTCTGCCCAATTTTCCAGTTCTTCTCATTGAAAAGTAGGTCTCCAGGCATGGTGGGAAGGTAGGAGCCCTTGGGAAGGAAACGGGACAGCAAGTGAGGCGTGGGGTCAACAGCTTCCTCGCTCACTTCCCGCCCATCTGAGGAAGAGTTCTGCTTCTGGAGTAAGCAGTGGGGAGGAAGGGTCCTCCTGCATGGCCACGGTCCTCAGGGAAGAAATTCTGGTGAGGGAACGAGGAGCAAGCGAGGGAGCAAGGCACATCAGAGAGGGAATCCCTAAGAGTCCCAATTTGATGAGTTTTGATTTTGGAACTAAATAAACCACGACGAAAACATGGCCTCGAAGAGAGGGGGGAGAATCAAGGTGACTGTTGTCTTTGCTTCCAAAAAGAGCAGCTCCATGTCCTGGTTACTTCCTGCAGCCCTCAAATAAGAGGAACAACTCAGGCACAGACAGACCTGAGGGGAAGCCCAGCTCAGGAATGAGCATCTCCACTATCATCTGAGTGGTGGAAGACCTTGGGCAAGAAGGAGGATACTTGGGCCGGGCTCCACAGAATCACAGAGTTACCTCGGTTGGAAAAGCCCTTGCAGCTCCTCCAGTGCCACCATGAACCTCACCCTGACCCTTCCCAACTCCCCCAGATCCCTCAGCGCTGGGTCACCCCGACTCTTCAACCCCTCCAGGGATCCCGGGGACTCCCCCCTGCCCTGGGCAGCCCATTCCAACGCCCAACAGCCCCTTCTGCACAGAAATCCTTCCTCAGAGCCAGCCTGACCCTGCCCTGGGCAGCTTGAGGCCATTCCCTCGGGGCCTGGCGCTGGGGCCTTGGCTCCAGAGACTCATCCCCCCTCTCTGCCCCCTCCTGGCAGGGAGTTGCCGAGGGCCAGGAGGTCTCCCCTCAGCCTCCTCTTCTCCAGACTGAACCCCCCCAGTTCCCCCAGCCGCTCCCCAGCAGACCTGTGCTCCAGACCCTGCCCCAGCTCTGTTGCCCTTCTCTGGCCACGCTCGAGTCATTCAATGGCCTTTTTGGGGTGAGGGACCCAAGACTGAACCCACCCATTGAGGGGCGGCCTCCCCAGTGCCGAGCCCAGGGCTCAGATCCCTTCCCTGTCCCTGCTGGCCACGCCAGTGCTGACACAAGCCAGGATGCCATTGGCCCTCTTGGCCACCTGGGCACACTGCTGGCTCATTATCAATCCCCCCAGTCCCTCTCTGACTGGCAGCTCTCCAGCCACTCCTCCCCAGGCCTGTAGCCCTGCTGGGGGTTGTTGTGGCCCAAGAGCAGCCCCAGCATTTGCCCTCAGTGAAACTCCCCCAGTTGGGCTCAGCCCGTGGCTCCAGCCTGTCCAGGTCTCTCTGCAGAGCCACCCTACCCTCGAGCAGATCAACACCCCCACCCAACTCACCCAACTGGGTGTCATCTGCAACCTGAGGGTGCCCCCGATCCCTTCGTCTAGATCATCAATAAAGATGTTAAACAGGAGTGGCCCCAACACCCAGCCCTTGGGTCAACACTCATGACCAGCCACCAACTGGATTTAACTCCGTTCACCACAACTTTTTGGCCCCGGTCATCAGCCCATTTTTTACCCAGCGAAGCATGTGCCCACCCAAGCCACGTGCAGCCAGTTTCAAACCACCTAATCTCTGCCAGCGAAGCTCTGCCAGGCCCCCAGCTCCCCTTGAGCCAGTTGAGAGACCAGCACATCGCACAGACCATCCACCTCCTCCATGTTTCAGATGACCCAGGATGGACGGTTCCAGTTAATTCTCAGCCCAAGGAACAAGAAGGAAGAGGAATAACAATCTACAAAGCCACACACTGACCAAAACGAAGCCTGACTGCCCAGGACACGTCAGGCCGGGCTGGTGGGGTGGGGAGAGCTGAGCGCTGTGGCCTGGCCACTCACCTTCACCGTGGCTGGCTTGAAGCAGATGTTCTTGAAGAGGTGAGTGATGCGGCTTGGGAACAAGGCCAGAGTGAGCGCGGTGTGGAAGACCACCTCCAGCAGGCCTGGGTCTTCACCGTCACCCAAAGCCTCCATGATCTTCCTCAGTTTGTCTTTCAGCAGCTCATCCGGGATGGGCGGCAACTGGAGGATGTTCTCCATTTGCCTCACGACGGACTACAAAAGTCGAACAAAAAAGAGACAAGTGAAGGCAACTGGCGTGGCACCTTCCTGTCAGGGCTCTTCTGGCTTCACTACTGAGGTTCAGTAGCCGTGCAAAGGCTTATTTGTGTCCCTTGGCAGCAGAGAGCCCCCACAGCTCCCCACCAACACTTCCTGTTTCCAGGAGGTTCCAGATCAACCAACAGTTCCAGACCGACCAACATTTTCAGACCAAAAACCATGGAAACCTCCTGTTAGAGACACGAGGGATACTCACAGTCAAGCTCTGGTTTACTGTGGAATCTTTGCTTTTTAGCTGGTTCTGTGCTTTGTCCAGCATCAAAAACATGTCTGTTGTGCTCCACCAGGTGTTTCTATCCTGGAAAACACAGATGAAGGGTGTTACCCTAAGAAACAAGTGGAAGGGTAAGAAGAGGAGGTTGATTGCACCCTACAAGGGCCTGTTGCTCTCCTCAACTGGAAGGGAACCCCCATGAGTCAATTTTCTAGGGTTCAAGCTCAGAACAACCTGCCCATGAAATGTTCTAGGGCTCAAGAAACAACCCACCTGCAAAATTTCTAGCCCTTGGGGTAAGATCCACTTCTCCACCTGGAGCATCTTCCACGTTGAGGTGAGCCCGTAGGTGTCACAGAGATTTCTGATGAGGAACACCTGAGGCCACGGAGTCGGAGCCGTCGCCACCAGCTTCTTCATGGCGTTCACCAGGTCTCGCTCCTTCTCGTTCTCCTCGGCAGTGGGTGCGTTGGGATCTGCAGCTGGAAAGGAGGTTTCTCATTATGCCCAGGCCCCATTGGTGACACGTCACACACGGACTTCCCCAACGCAGCCCCTCCAGCTGTTTAGGATCCAGGTTGCAGCAGGATCTTCTCCCTCACAGGTTGAAACGTGGCTTCAAGCCAACGTACAGAAGGTCCCTGAAGACGGAGGGGAACACTTGGAGAACACAGTGAGTCTGGGAACTCCAGAGCTGGAAAGTTCATCCAAAACAACTTCAATTTTCATAAAACCAGTTATTTTCCAAGTAAAAACCTCCAAGGCTTTTTTTGGGGGGGGTTAGTCTAGAACTTTTTAGGGGTAGGCGCAGTTCTGACGTGATGATAAAGCGAGAGAACTCACCAGAAAGCATCTGTGTGCCAAGCACGGTGGCCACATGGCTGATGGAGATCCGGAGCCGGGCGATGAACTGGAGGGTGTCAATTTTTGAGGCCTGGGGCTCACAGGAAGCAGACAGGTCTGCGGTGGAGAGGCAGCTTTCTGCGAGCTGGCTGACGTCTTCTTCAGAAGAAGGATACATAAAATCCTGAGAGAGAGAGAGAGAGAGAGAGAATTTTTAAGAGTCTGGAGGAGGGTTCTAAGTGAGCAGCTCCTCCTCCTTCCTTGTGCCTTCTCATCGTTAAGGTGCGCCCTTCCCTTGGCTCCTCATCCATGGGGGGGGGGGGGGGGG